CCGGACTGTTCAATTCCAAAACTGACGAAACTATGGAAAACATCCATAAAATGAGAAAGACAGCGAAATCCTATGTACCATACCAACCGTATCGGTACCAGAAGCAAGCTTACAGAAAACCAAAGTACCAATCATCTACTCAGTACCAGCCTTCTCGGTACACCAAGCAGCAACTGGACCGCACTTACCAAACCCAGCAGTCCGCTACTCCACTATTCAAGCAACAACGCTTCCGCAGCCCCAAGCAGTCCTTTCATAAGACTCAGCACAGGGGTAAGCAATTTCCATAACTCTTCATTTTCTACAAGACTGTCCCCATTCTTGCAAGAATGGAAAAACATCACTACTGACAACTGGGTCCTGTTCCGGTTCCATCATGACACCTTCTAATTCACTGCTGTACCGTTCGGGCTATCCATGGCCCCCTGGACATTCACAAAATGCATGGCACCAGTCGTCGCATACCTACAAACTCAAGGGATAAAATTTTTTCCCTTACATCGATGACTGGCTTCTGGTAGCTCAATCCTACCACGTAGCCCTCGCTGCCACAGACTTCACTTTCGCCATTCTGGACAAATTAGGGCTAAAAATCAACGCAAAAAAAAATCTAACCTAATACCTTCCCAACTAGTCTCCTACATAGGAGCAACTTTGGACTCCATTCGCACAAGGGCGTTTTTGCCACTACAGCGTATCCGCAAGATCTGGGCAGCCGTGAGCAAGTTCAAACCGCTCACAACACTGACAGCGCACGATGTTCAGCACGTCCTAGGAATCATGGCATCTACCACTGTGGTGGTACCATATGCGAGACTCGAACTCAGACCCCTGCAGTCTTGCTTCATCACTCAGTTCAATCCCGTGATGGACCCACAATCAAAGAGGCTAAAAATCCCTCCTCATGTAGCTCGACATCTCTTCTGGTGGACGAGACCCAGCAATCTGTCACGGGGAAAACCGTTCCACCCTCCACACCTCTCCATACAAGTCGTCACTGATGCCAGTCCTTCAGGTTGGGGCGCACATTGCCAAGATCTCCAAGTTCACGGCCTCTGGACTTCAACTCAAAACGCCTTACACATCAACCAGCTGGAACTGCTAGCTGCCATGAAGGCCTTCCACACATCCAACGTCATGCAGTACAACTGATAACAGACCATACCACAGTGATGCACTACATCAACAGGCAAGGTGGAAGTTGATCCAGACCTCTCCTCAAATTGACCATCCAATTCTGGAAATGGTGCCTGTAACGGGCAGCCATGACCTCACCTGTCCGTCACAGCTGGGCAGTGAATCATCAGCCAATGGTGTGACGGAGGGGGGAATTGAAGGGGAAGAGCTGGTATAAAAAGGGAGGTGAAGAGTGTGTGAGGGCAGATTGGAGATTGAGATTGAGTTATAGGGTTTTGTTAGAGGCCTGCGTGCCTGAGTGTCAGTGAGGGAAAGTCTATATGTTTAATTAAATTGTGAAAGTAATTTATATTGTGATTATAGTCCAGTGATTTTCATATTTTTATTTTGTAATCAATAAATCAGTTTTGTTTTTGAAGAAACCCTTGTCCTTTTTCATTTAAAGGAAAGGTTGGTGGCAGCCAGAGAGTGTAGTGGCGTGGTGGGCATTCTGAGAGGTCTGAGTAGGTAGTGACATCAGAGTGCTGAGCCACGTTACAGTGCCGTTCTCATGACATCTTCCCGCAATCAATCCATATCGCATACAAGGACAACTCCCTGGCGGACCACTTAAGCAGGCTCCCCACCAGGATGCACGAATGGACCTTAGACCAGGCAGTTTTCCTCGACCTTTGCAAATGTTGGGGACAGCCTACAGTGGACCTCTTCATGTCCCATCTCAACACCAAGTGCGCCTGATACTGCTCCAGGGCGGGCATGGACTCTTCCTCCCTAGGAGATGCTTTCCTCATACCATTGTCAGGAGAGCTAACGTACCTGTTTCCTCCAATACCACTAATTCTCAGGACGGTAACCAGAATCATTCAGTACCGAACAGATGCAATCCTCATTGCCCCATGGTAGCCGAGGCAACTGTAGTTCGCTCACCTATCAGAAATAGCAGAGGAAGTATACCACCTACCTCAGATACCGTCCCTCCTATCACAGAACAACGGGGCTCTTCTCCATCCCGATGTCCGGTCCCTTCACCTGACGGTGTGGAGGATAATCCCCAATTCCATGAAATACTAGATCAGGCACGAAAGCCTTCCACTTCTCGCCTATATAAGGGCAAATGGAAAGCCTTTACCAAGTTTGCCCAAACTAAAGGCATGACCACAGTACCGGCATCTCTACACACGGTACTTACCTTCCTGTTGCATCTCTTCAACATGGGACTTGCTCACTCCACTCTTAAAGTTTACATTTCGGCGATCATTGCTCACCAACCTCCTTGATCGAACTCCGCCAGACTTTTTTCCGACCCTACACTTAAAAGATTCTTAAAAGGTCTCCAAAGCATATGACCTCCTTCTCAAAACATCGCACCACAATGGTCCCTCCTATTGGTACTGGAAGCCCTCACCAAACCACCATTTGAACCTATGGCTACAAGTTCGGAAAGGCTACTCTAGTTAAAAACTGCATTTCTAGTAGCTATCACTTCAGCTAGAAGAGCAAGTGAGCTCGCCGCTTTAAGGTCAGACGCTCCTTACCTTCAGATACACAGATAAGGTCACTTTGTATTTGGACATTTCCTTCCTACCAAAGGTGGTATTGGACTTTCATGTCAATCAGCCCATTGTGCTTCCAACATTGTTCCCTTCTCCAACTACACCGCTGGAGCGTAAACTCCATTCCCTCGATGTCAGAAGGGCCCTTGCCTTCTACTTGCATCGTACCAAGCATATCAGGCGATCTCCGTGTCTGTTCCTGTGCTACCACGGGCCACACAAAGGTGCTCCCGCTTCCTCTCAATCAATATCGAGATGGATTGTTCAGCTTATACAGCTGGCTTACCAGCTGGCTCAGGAGCCTGCCCCATTGGGGTTGAAGGCCCATTGTACCACAGCGGTTTCCACCTCAACGGCATTATTCAAAGGTGTCCAACTGCAAAACATATGCAAAGCAGCCACCTGGCCTACCCCTCTGATGTTCGCCAGACACTACTGACTGGACGTCAGAGCCAAAAATGATGCGGAGTTTGGACGGGCAATACTGTCATCCTTGATACCGTGACGGCCCTCCTTCCAGTGAGTACAGCTTGCTATTCACCCAATTGTGTGCATTCACAGAGACCACTACGAAAAAAGTTAGGTTACTTATCTGTAACTTTGGTTCTTCTAGTGGTACTCTGTGAATTCACACATCCCTCCCTTCCTCCCCTCTATCCGTCATGGTACCGTTCTATGATACCATGCTTATCTAATTTATATGGTAATGGCAGATTTAGGGAACTGAAAGGAAGATGGAGGAGTCGGGGCTTATATACCTTGTGGGGGGAGCTAATTGACTTTTTTCTAAAGCTCTAGAATCTTCCGGATGTCCTGCGCAGGCGCAGGATTAACCCAATTGTGTGAATTCACAGAGTACCACTAGAAGAACCAAAGTTACAGGTAAGTAACCTAACTTTATGGTGGCACAAACAGAAAAGGAGCCACTGTCCTTGCTCAAACAATTTGAGTCCCAAACTCCAAGGAGATACAGGGATGCCGGAGAATGGAGAGATTCCAAAGTTTAGTCAGTCCTTTAGGAGCTAAGATGAGCCCAAGACTCTCAGCTAGGCCCTGACTAACACTTCTTCCTCAAATCCCCCTCCTTTATTAAGAAAAGCAACACACACAGACAAATCCATGAGTTTAAACTCAGGCTAATCTGGGCTCTATATCAGGTAGCAAATACACATGGCCAAATCAGAAAGACTAGTCTGTTCAAGAAACCAATGCATGCAATTCTAAATCATTACTGTTTTATTTAAAAAAGGATGGTTCAGAAAAGAATTCAGATTATTGCAAAGTAATTCAGTTAGGAACATTTTTATAACAAGGCAGACAGATCACCCCCACCACTCCAGCTGGAAAAATAAAATAATTAAAAGCATTCTAAGCTAGAATAATGCATAAGCATAGTCATTCTTACGTTCCTGTGATTCCATAGTCCATGATCCACCAGGAAAAGTTAGATTCCAGTTATAATCTAAAAGTTATAATCCATTTTGGGAAAAAGCATGTGTCTGTCCTTTCTCAGTCAAACTCCATCTTTTTTTCTCCTTCTCCCCACTTCCTTCTCCTTCCCAGGATGCTTCATAAGGAACTCCTCCTCCTGGGTCTTGTTGTCCTGCCTAACTTTCTCATGGAAGCTTGAGTTGTTATGTCTTGTGGCAGAATTATTATGACTACCAGGAATGTAACTCTTTGGCTCTCCTTAGCAACTAGATAACCAGAGAACGAAGCTTCTTTGAAACAGCATGAAAAACTTTCCTACTACAGAGCAGACTTTAAATCAAGATGGATGCTGTTAAGACAATATTATGACTACAAAACCCATTCTAGCATCTCATAAAAACACAAATCATCACAGGTCCCACACATTAAAAAAGCAAGGGTCAATGGATGAAGAAAACTCAAAAGTGGAGAAAATGTGCTAAGCAGAGAGGCAGAGATTTGAGGAAGGAGAAACAGATATTTGGTGGAGAAGAAATAAGTTTTGAGCAGTACATAATGGGAGATGTACAGAAAAGAACAGAGAGTATATTAAATACAATAAAATGAAGAGAATGGGAAAATATATAGCATAACAGTGAAGAAAATAAGAGGCAAGAGTAGAGAGATTTTTATGTTAGAATAAACATATTACAATGAATACAAGGATAATGAGAAACCAATGAAGATATTTGGGGAGGGTGTGAAGAAATGTTGAAATAGTAACAGAAAAAGAATGAGCTGAGCAGCAGAATGAAGAACAGATATCAGAGACTGGGGAGGAGAACAGGTAAGACAAGTATGAAGATGACTACTTTTGTTTTATTGTTCTTACCCATGAAGGCTGAAATTAAGCGTCTCCAGGAAGCCAATAAGGCAGCTCGAAAGGAAAGGCAATTGATCCTTAAGCAGCAACAGGAGATAGAGCGAATACGCCAAACCACAATGAAACTACAAGAAAAGCTGAAGTCTGCAGGAGAAAATAAGTTGGTAAGCTGTACTACAAGAATTAAACTGATTACTTAGAATGAATGTGTTGATTTTCAGTTTGTGACATTGTAGTTCTCAAGTTGAAGAACGGAAGTTCCTTGGGACTGAAAAAAATAATATAAATTTCTAAATAAATAAATGAATATCTGACTGAAATTCCTGAAAAACTGTTTTTTTTTTCTTTATGAGATAGTAATAGTAAACCCAGATTTTCCTTAGTGTTTAAAAGTATTGGTTAGTTATATATATATATATATAGCTGATACTTAGGACATTGCCATGAGCATTTCAAGACCCATCACTCTTCTAAAATCTGCATATTACTTCCATTAACAACTTTGTTATATTAGTTGACACTTTATTTTCATAGGAACATCGCAGTGAAGATGATGTAAAGCAAACACATTCTTCAAGTCCACTACCAACAGATGCAGAGACCTATAGCCCTTCCTCCATCTCCAGCTGTGAAACTAATAGCATCATGCAGAAATTAAAGAAAATGCACAGCCGGATGGATGAGAAGTAACTATTTGTGCTTTGTGTTATTGATGACATAAGTAATTTGTTACGAGGTTATGTTGCTCTTCAGAATTTGTTTTTGCTTTCTATAGTTGCAGTGGTGTTTCATTTCAGCTGGCCTAGCTAATGATTTGGCATTGTACATTGACTATATGAAGGTACACAAATATGCAAAACCACCTTTCCGGCTAGTTCAGTGTCTGCACTGTCTGAGAGCAAGTGGCCCTTTAAGATCCTGTGCAGAGAAGAATCTTCTCTGTCCAGCTAGTTGAAATTCTCTATATCTAGAAATGCTGAGGACTGAACTCGTAATCTCTTGTGGGGAAAATGTGTTCTCTGCTACTAAGTTATGTATGGGCAATTGTATAATTAGAAAGCCTGAGTTCTACATAGACTTGTTACTTTAATGCAAGGGTGGGCAATTAATTTCTATAGGAGGGGCCGCATGAAAAATCTGAACTGTGTTCCGTGGCCAAACCAACTTTACTTAAAAATAAAATGAAACAGTGATGTTATGATTGTTTTTATTTTAAACTTAATCTTCACAAATACTAAAGAGGTTTTTTTGTGTTATGTTAAAGATAAGCAACTGCTCAACTTTAGACAAAAAGCTATAAATGGTTTTGATGTTCAAAACTGTCCGCAGGCCGGATAGGAGCGGCTCGCAGGCTGTATGTGGCCATCGGGCCGCACTTTGCCCAGGTCTGCTTTAATGCATACATAGTGTGATATTTGCCTCAGTACAACTAATAAATAGCTGGTCCTTCTTGGATCATTTCCAAGCAGAATGTGAACTTTGATTGTTAACCTTAATGACTCAAATTCATCAGAAGAACAATTGATTTCTATTGTAACATGTTGTAACATAAGATTATATATTGAGTATTTGCAAATTATTGGAAAATGTGTGCTTTAATTAAGAAATGTTTTTGAACGTTTCTTGTGTAATAGTGAACATATCTCCACCATTGAGAGTTTGCAACTACAGTGGTGCCTCGCATAACGAGCGCACCATTTAACGACAAATCCGCATAGCGATCTGTTATTTGGGATTGCTAATGCGATCGCATTGCGATGTTTTAATAGCCTAAACATCGCATTGCAATAATCGGTAAGCGTTTCGCTTACCGATCTTCGCATTGCGATGTTTGCGGAACAGCTGATCGGTGGTTCCAAAATGGCCGCTGGGTGCCCAAAATGGCCACCGCAACCATTTTTGCGTGATTTCCTCGCTTACCAAGGTGGCAAAAATGACGGTGAGTTTTCGCCCCATAGGAACGCATTAAACAAAGTTTAATGTGTTTCTATGGGGTTCCCCCCCCCCGCATTGCGATGTTTCCGGATAGCGACGATTAATCCGGAACGGATTAACATCGCTATACAGGGCACCACTGTATAATATTACCTATTAGAAATAGGACAGAAACCTGACAACAGTTGTGTCAGGCACCTCTAAATATAATTGTGAACATTTTCAGCTGCAGGAATTTTTTCCTCTCTTCCTAGCCCCTTCCCAGGTTTTAGGGATTGGAACTGCATACAGGGCTTTGGTGTGTGTACCAAATTTTGAGAAACATGAAATGGTTTTGTGCCTTCCACTCAGCTTTTGCAGGGCTTTAGTGTGTGTACCACGATTTCAGTAAGAACACTAAGATCTTCCTGTGCATCATACTGTAGCTGTTCAGAATTCTGTCTCTGAAAAGTAGGAAATTGTTTGAGGAAGTTGGACATGCAGAGTTAATGCCAGTGCCTCCACTTGGACATTTGGAAAATCTCTAAAAAATGTTCTTTTCAGGGGGAGTGTCATCCTGCAGTAGAAGAAAAAGCATCTGCTTCCCATAAACATTTTTACTTGTTTTCAGAATTGCAGAGCACCACAGTTCCTCTGTTCTCTTTTTAAAAGAAACAAATAGATTGAAATTCTATTGGTGTAACTATGCCACACAATTAGGATGACATCATTAGCCCTCAACAGTCATATTGAATTGAACTGAATTGAACTGAACTGAACTGAATTGAAAGCTTCCTATCCCCCATTCTCCTTTTCAGATTCTGAAGTTCCCTATGAGTTCTTTTAGGTCTGGGGAAACCTTTGGGGTATTTGGGATGATGATAGTGAAAAGTGCCACTGCCAGTCCTGCCACTGGGATCAGGACTGCTGCTGCTAATCTGGCAGCAATTTTGGCTATTGAAGCCCCTCACCCTGGTCCCAAAGCTACTAAGGCCTTCCCCAGGTCAAAAAGAAGCTCTACAAAGACTTGGAACCTGAAGTGGATGGTAAAAAGTTTTAGTTAAATCAGATATTACCACAGGGGACTGATGACATTGTTCTACTTGTACAGTTATGTCAACAGGATTTCAGCCATAGTGTCTCAAACTAGTGTGTGTGTTTAGTGCAAGCATAGAAATCTAAATCCATTCATTTAACAATGAATTCGTTTAGTTAGTTGTGTAGTAATAACAACTGGCAGTTTAGATTTCAGTCTGAAGCCTGAGCTCTGGAAGGGTGCCAGTAAAGGAAGGCACTATTAGCACCTTATTTTGTAACATTTCCCAGAAGATAAATAAAAACAAAATTATGCTGTTGATCTTTCTTTCAATTTGCAGGATGAATGTTTTGCCAAAAAGATAGAAATGATATTTGCCTTACAATTTGCATGTGAACAGGAGCATGCTCTGTCAAAGAATTAATTCTTTGTGGTCCTAGTATATTTATTCCATCCCTAATATTGAACCTCTTAACTAAATTTTAGTGTGCTTCATAGCTTCTAGTGCCGATGAGTAGCATGACTTTTACTTTCTAACAGCTTTGTCAGCTGTGTAATTTCTAACAGTTATGTCATGAAGACATTTCATAGTAGAGATCCTGTGCTATTATAGGGGAGTATTTTAAAAGTAACATGAGAATAATCCAAAAAAATAAAACCCACTACTAGCACAAAATGGCGCGTTATGAACTTTTTGAGTTTACTATTGAAGTTTTTAACCAGATGGTTGTACATAATGAAGCCATAATATTTTCTTTGGTGGAGTTAATGCACTTAAGTTATGACAGTTGATCAGATTCTTCATTAATTTGTGTGAGGCTAGAATGCAATTTAACACTTTGGTTCAATGAACATATAGCAAGTTTAAAAAAAATCGGTACTGAAATTATTAGACTGAATTGCAGACAAGTGCCTTCTGAACAATTTGAAGAGTGCCACTCAACATGTGGCAAAACTGGAGACTTCCTCAGTGTAGGACAACTGTTTCATAGAGAGAAGAGGCTTACAGCTAATGTAAGGTTACATTGATGTTTTTGGAGCCTTCTCTTTGTGACAGATAATACGTTTGACATTCTGAGATTCTGTGCTAGATACTCTCCTGCTCTCGCTTTTCTGTCTGTTTCTTTCTAGCTTGGCTTAAAACTCTTCCTCCTTATTTTGTAGACACTGCTCTCCTGTTCACTACTTCTTCTCTGTCTTTACGTCTCACCACTGGGCTTCTCTCAGTGTCTGTTTTCCCAACCTCCATCCCAAATTCCAGCTGTATATCTACAACCAATTGGTCAGGTAACTTTCTACCTTTTTCGGTGGTAGACTCTTTGATCGAGCATGCTCTGTTCATGTTACATGACTAGGAGACTCTTCTTCAAGATGTTCTCTCTCAAAAATCTTGACCTTTCTCACATATAGTTTAAATATTGTATTGTTGCAGATCATCATACACAGCAGTCTTCTATGTCTCAGCTAGCAAACATATAGTTAGCTAACAAGTAGCTTGAGGAAAAACTGAGCCTTAGGTGGAATTTATTGGAATTTAGTGTTTTTAGCATTGAAATCATTGAAATCATTGTTTTCAGTTTTTTTTTTTCACAGTGCGTAAATAACTTGCTATTCATTTGTTTCTGTTAAACTTTTCAAACTGATTTGGAATATAACATTCTCTACATAAGTAACTCCAAATAAGAATACAGAGTAATCGTGCAAACTAATCAAATTTGTTTTGGTTTCTATTAGTTAAAATTTCTTCTAATAATGTTGGATGTTTTCTTAAGCTTTGCATTTCTTATTTAATCTGTTGTGAGCTGCCTTGGGTCCCCTATGGGGAGAAAGGTAGCAAATAAATAAATAAACAAACAAGCAAAGATGGGGATACTGGTATGATAAGAGTATAGAGTACAAGAATACTATTCACCAATAGAAGGTTTTATGGAAAGAAGCAACTATGAATTACATAGAGTTTGGAACTCATTCCTAGCCACTTGATTGCTGTATGACCCAAATTCTAATTTTAATGTTTCAGCTTTCACAGGATACTTGCTGGTTGTTACCCATTTCCAAAGTTTCCTTTTTAATTGTAGGTTTCAGGTTTGAGTCTTCTTCATGGTGTCCGTGTATGTACACAAAAAGGGTTTGCATGTGTGCATACACTGCTTTGGAAAGTTCCAGAGCCTCAAAAGTGAAAGTATCTTTGCCTCTACCACAAGTGCAGCCCTGCTCTCCTCAGTCCACTTTTGTCTGCCGCTGCAACAGCACGCAGAGGACTGTTCTGGAGCCTCTTCCTTATGTACCTGCATCACTCCTAGCAATATGTCTTTGCCTTTCCTTCTCCCTTTCTTACCTTCTCCTACCATTTTTCTTGAAAAAAAGAAAAAAGAAAGAAAAGATTTTTAGTTGGAGAAGAAGAGATTTTTATCTTACTTCTGTGAGCAATCACGGTGCTTAAAAGCACGTGTGAAAGCCTGGACAGAGAGCAATCAGGAGTTTGCACACGCTAAAATAGGCTGAGGGAATCCTGGAGCTCAGCTAGCCGTGCTACAACCCTCCGTCTTACAAGTCTGCCCACATAAGAACACCCTTGTACTCTCAGATGTTACTGTTAGAAGAACATGTGGGCTTTGTAGTCCTTAGACTTAAATAGCACCACTGGCAGGACTCCTTAAGTATGCTAGGCCGAGGCAGCACTCTCAGATGACCCTAAGACAAGTGTTACTGTTCAGGAAACCAATTGATTTTTAT